GTTGGACACCCCTGGCTTAGATAACAGAATTCTTTGCTTCACCTACAATTCACATCTACAGGGTGGGGCGTGAGAACTTCCTATTTAGAACATGTTCCAGTGATGTCCGTAGGGAGGAGTTCGGTTGAAATGGTGGAGTGAGATGTTTGTGTCTCTGCCCATCTCAGTCTCAAACTAGTTGTGTTCGAGGCAGCAGCGCTCTTTTGCCGTGGATGCATATTTATCTAACGGTCAGTTGGGGATTGCAGTGCAACGTGCCTTTCGTCGTCGCTTTGATATTCCTCCCCGAGGTCATGTTCCTGATCGGAAATAAGTTTTAATGCAGATGGATGTCTTTAGAGCAATGGGAAATGTCCCCAAAGAAAGGAAAGAACCTCCGAGAACCGTTAGAACACCTGAAAATGTGGAACGAGTTCGTGCGTCAATGCAGACTGGTATGTGACAATGATCCCACAATTCTTCTTACCCACTCTCCAAGAAAAGGGTCTTGACAATGTCTGTTTACAACAAAATGGGGCCACAGGCCCCATCTCCATGATTTCCATGGGTATTTTAAGAGCAGCCTTCCCCGAATAACAGATTTCCCTGTGACGGGACGCAAACTGGCCTGCGTGATCACCTGATTTATGCTCTCCTGATTACTTCCTGTGGGCTTGTCTCAAGTTCCTGGTTTACAAAGATCATTCCAAGAACCTGAATGACCCAAGAAATAACATCCGTGCCGAAATGGACAATGTCCAGGTCGATATGCTTGAAAAGGGGACTCAAAGTGTTCGAAATCGACTGCATCAGTGTATTGATAATGGAGAGCGACATTTAACAGACTCTGTTTAAAACTGTTATTCAAATTTCCAATGTTGTGTGGTAGGCAGAAAAATAACAATAAAGTCAAATGAATCATGCAGTGTGTTTTATTGCATTTTCAAAATAAGAAGTTACCACTCCCCATCGTGTACAACTGTGAAGATTTGGGGAAATTGAAGTGTAGTGCGAGACTTAAGAAATTATATTATTGATTTTTAATACGTGTTCTGCTATAAATTGCAATATTTATATTTAGATACAAGTTATTCAAACTATTGATATTTCAACTCTACAGAATGTTATTGCTGATGTAGTCAAAATACAGCGTCTCGTTTCGCGTGTTTCAAGCGGCCTCGTCTCTCCACTCTCTTGGGTGTGGGATACCTCGAATTTTACTTGGGGTACGATTCACAGTTGGAATGTAGAGGTTGTTTTCCTCATGGCCATCGGTTGTTGGCCCGATATCAGATGAAAGGATCCCGTAATATTTTAGGGGTGCACTTGTGGAAATGAACAGAGTGATGCAATCTGACTAGAAAAGTGGATCTTGCAGCTGCTAGGGGGGGGGACGTTACATCAACCTATCACAGAAGCAATTTCAATGAATTGAACTATAACATCTTTATGTACATATTTTTCGCATATCTTAGTTGGCTTTTTATATCGAAAAGTCTAAACGTATAGAGCGTATAAAGAGCTACAATGAGAAAAGAACAAGGCTATTATCCATGCCATTAAAGTTGTTAATAAATGACAACCGTGAATGATAAGCAAGACTGATAAACTTGGCAACGGTCAGGATGCTCACAATATATATTTTTATGATATATACTTCTAGAGATTAAAATTCAATAAAAACTACACTTGGACTAAAATTGTTTCAACCTTCTTCAATGTGTACCTTCACGAAAATATATATATATTCACGATGATTACATTATTAATTTTATCAAAGCAGGAAAATATTTTGAGTCCTTTTCGGCTAGCTGACATGACATATACCTTGATCTACCTTATGAATGTACTATCGGTATAACTGAATTATGTAATCCAGTGCTTCTCAAACTTTCAATATTTGCGACCCAATATTCAATTATAATTTTCATCACCCCTCCCCCTTCCCAACATTTAGTAACAATGCATTGAATTCAGTAATACTATGCTTTGACGCTAAAGCTACAATACGACTTTAACCTCTTAAGTGCCACCTTAAGTTAACCTCTTAAGTATAAATGTTTCGCTCACAACCAAAGCTTTAATTGTCCCGGACGTATATGTACGTATTTTCGAAGAACGATCTTTTCTGTGTTAATTTTTGTATATATTTTTATATATTTCAAACCCATGGGGTCACTGGTTATTGTTAAAATTGTTCCTTATTTAGTATTGTTAAATCAATCATAATATATATTATCCTGTACTCATACATTTATAAGTGTATTACATCAGTGTATTGTATCAGTATTTTTTTTATTGTGTCAGAATGTATTTTATTTGTTAACTTTCAGTTAATTAATATATATTTTTTAAAAATAATCTTTTGTTTTCAACTTTTCAATATGCTCCCCTCGTAGAGTTATCACGCCCCTATAGGGGGGCACGCCCCACAGTTTGATAAACGCTGATGCAATCCAAAACGCTTGAATACGAAATGATCAAACCATAGACATCATTTACAAAAAACAAAAAACAAACAAAAAAAAAATTAAAAACCCTTTTGATTTATATTTATCTACTCTAACTTTGGATTGATGGTCAACTTCCAACTGAAGAACTTGACAATCCATCTGTAAAATATAAAATATTCCATATTATTCTTTTTTTTTTCTACGAAAGAGGACCAATTTAATCTCTGAAAAAAGTTCTGATGGGCTACCTACGAAGAAAGGATACACATGTATCATTTTTTTGCAGACATTTCCAGAAGATTATTCCTTTCGTCTGAAAAACAAAAAGAAGGGGGAAAAAAACCAGGACCGAGACTTCGCGAAAGAAGCTTTTTGTCCATCGATTCCAGTCGAGTCATTGTTCCGGAAGCTTTTCGGTTCAGACGTTAAAAGGGAATCCTTCCCTTTTTCGATGATTGATACGTTTTTCTGTTATTTTGTAAAATAACGCTTCGCCGACGGTCGCTTGTTTATCTTCCATCAGATGGAAGGCATGATAAAAGATCGAGAGAGCTATTTGCTTCTTTTTTTTGTATTCCGTTCCATTTCTTTCTTGTTTTTTTATCATCTATTTTTTTCTAATCACTCCCGATCATTTTTTTCATCCTGTATTTTCCCGCTTGGATTTTACTTATCTGGCGAGTTGAATCGATATGTTGGATCATTTACATAGGAAAAGACACCCAGAAACAATTGTCAGGGATTTTGACTCTCAGTATATTTTTAGATAGGGTAATTCTTCCTTACCAAATTTCTAAAATACATCTGACTTCGTATTCTTAATAACACTTCAAATATGATAAAGATTTTTACTGTGAAATATAATTAAATAGTGAACAATTAGCGATTTTATTCATTAAAGTTTCCATACCAAAATAAGTGGATTCCTAATAAAGGAGATACAAGTTCTGCCGTATCAACAACAAAAATCCATTTACAGCAATTCTTAAATATTTCAATATTTATTTATTTATTTTACGAAAATTATTTAAAGTTATAAATGTATTCCTATGATTATCTTTCATATATAATATCATTAACAATATTAACCTCTTAAGTGCCTCCAGCGTATATTTCCGTCTCTCTCAACCTATGTGTTTTGAGCCCCCCTTTTACGTAATATCTGTCCTTCCAAAATACAATTTTTTTTTTTTTTTTAGCTGCCAGCCGTAAAACTATTCCGAAGATTTTGGAATGCAATAAAATGACCTTAACACTGTTTGCGAAGAATTTACTTATTTCAGAGACACATTTGCTTATTTGTGCCTTTTCTCTCCCCTTCCCCTAAAGCACTACATATGCTCGCTTATGTGAAAAACGGTGGTACTGATGGCGAAATTTTTAATCGGCAACCTTGAAAATGTCATTATTCGTCTACATAAGGCATTTTTGTTAATTTCAAAATCTTATAGTTTGAACATTTTTCTTTCCAAAACATTTTTTCTTTTTCCTTTACGCAAAATAGAAATAAAGTTATAATGATTTTAAAAAGCATCATTCTATGCAGAAGAGCAGTAATATAAAACTTTAAATGAGTTTTTCTCAAAATTATGTTTTCGAAAGAAACTCCTTACCAGATACATGATATCTTAAGAACCAAACCACAGATAACGTTTTGAAATTTTGAGGGAATGTTTATTATACTATTTTCATAAAGTGGACCATAAGTTTCGTTGAAGGTTAAATATTTTTCATTTAGGGTAGTTTTTATAAAGCAAAAACTTAAAAAAATATCCAAATTTTCATATTATGTATAATTGTTTGTAATTTTTTTGTATTTTTTAATGTTTCTCTTAGACTTTGGTTCAGTTTGAAGAGCACCGTAATATGTATGTTCTGTATAAAGAAAATTATGATCATTGTATTAGAAATTTTTATACAGTGTTACCCATTTTAGTAAAAATTTGGTAACATTTCCTTGAAAACAACCCATTTTTCTAAAAGTACAATATTTATTAAAATTTTTTTATGTATTTACATATTTTTTAAAATGTTTCTTTCTAAAAACACTCAATTTGTTTCAAAAATTTGTTTTTGTAAAAAAATTGAATCCGAAGGTAGGCAGTCACCTCAAACGGTTAAAAAGCAATGGAAATAATGAAACTAAACCAAAACTAACAGACAGATTTAAAACAACGACCGTCTAAAATATTTCTTTCCAACACATTCTCACTAAATTTAATAATAAATCCTGTAATAAATCCTTTTACAAGAAATTTGCTTCACAAGGATGCGTCTTATCCCCTTTTTTCAGTCGAAACTGGTCATAAAAATTTTGACATAAGAATTATATTTTGCACAACTTGCATTTCGTACAACAATATAGTTGTTGTCGTGTTTTTTATACTGTGATACGTATGAATTACACAGGTGGAAGAACAGAAACATACAATACAAACAGAAGAATATAGACTCCTATTACAAATGATGATCCCAGCATTTAACAGAAGGGGTGCGCTGCTTTCCATTCGAGACGGAAATTCATAACAGGCGAAATTCCGACTTATTTTCCCGAAAAAGATATAACCATGTCTTTCTCGGGGATTGAACCCGAACCCACTTGGTTACAAACCGAGGGTCATATCCATCATACTGGCTGGGCTACAACAGTATAATTGTCGCTGCGAAACAACATTTTTAGACTGGGTCATAAAACTTTTGATAGAAAAATATTTTACACAACTAGCCTTTCGTACAACAATATGTTTGTTGCGACGAAACAACATTTACAGACTTTTTAAATAAACGAGTAAAATTATTTATTATCAATATTAACAAAAATAATACAACTGGGGGAAAAAAGCAAATGTCATAACAAAACAAAAAATGCATTAGCATGGTAAGTTTAAACGGAAAGGGTTTGTGCACCTATTTAATATTCACTGAAAATAAAATATATTTCACAAAAAATCAAGGAGCTACAAGACAAAGTGTTGGATGAACAATTTTTCAAGTCAACAATTTTTAACAGTACGATTCTTCAAATACAAATTTTTTAAAATATAATTCAATATTTTTATGTTTAGATGAGGGGAAATGCATAATGCATTAAAACGAAAAAAAATTAATATGAAATTTTTATTGTTAATATTTGATAAATTCTTTTAACATTTCAGAACTCATTTCTTAAGGCCCTCGTAACTAAAAACCATTCAAGTAAGATCATAGAAACATACAACATTAACAGCGATAAAAGTATATATTAGAATATAATTAACTATGTTAATTAAGCTCAAAATGCACCGATTCATAAAAGTCGTTATTTAGTTCCCACACATGTAACAAAAAAGCTAATTTTATCCTGAAGTGGTGAGATTATTTTATGCGACAATATTTTTATCTTCATTATATATATTTTAACTGCCACCGGCGTATATAAATGACACGCTGGCTTATATAAATGGCACGCTGGCGTATATATACATCTTTCAGAAATGCAATACTTTTCTTTGCACTGCTAAACACTAAAACTATTCCGAACTATTACTAAGTCCGATGCAATAAAATAACATTGGCAGTGTTTACAAAGTATTTACTTATACCAACGAAAAATTTGCTTATTTATGCTTTTCCACGGTGCCTATACACAGGTGCCTATGTGAAAAACGGTAGCACTTGGGAGCCAATCTCGTAACTTATAATCGGTAATTATGGGCTTAATTAAAAAAAAAGTTATTTTTCATTTAAGTAAAAAATAGACTTTATAGACTTGCATATAGCCTTTAGACTATATGTACTTACAATAGACTTTAATATTTATAGACTTACATATTGAATATCTTTAATTAAAAATGACGCACTAATATAAACGAGTATATTCAAAGTAAAGAAATTTAACAAAATATTAAGTCACTCATTTGTTCATCTCATTTGATACGTTACCCGATAAAATATAAAATTTTGTACCAATAAATTGCTTAACCACTTGCCTTACAAATTTTTTTGAAGAAAATGGCAAAAAGTCTCATCAAATTTTTTATTTTATTATTAAATACAAGGAAACGAAACAAAATATATGTAGGTCTTAGGCTAAATTTTTAATTTTTACAGGCGTAAAAGCATTCAATTTTAATATTAGTTTACTATCCCTAGTTATCTAGGACAACTGGAAAAAAGTTGATTATTAGTCTTTGTATGATAGTTTTTGAAACAAGGAACAACATTCAGTGATACCTGGCATTTTGTATACTGGTATCTGGTCTCTTTTCTTACTGGCTTACCTCTGGAATCTCTTTTACGGGAGCACAGTGTACACCGTGTCGTTGGATTTGATTTTTTTTCAGTAGCAGGAATAACATCTGGAAATTGCCCTTAGGTTAACCTGAGTGGTGATGGACTAATGCTAGGTCAAAATAATGTGGCAGAAAACTCTGATTTTCAGAAATTATTTTTTCATTCAGTTCCATTTTAAATTGCTTAGGTGATCGGAAACCTTCTGATTCACAGTACAGAATGTAGGCTACATACAGAAGCATCACTTCCCCTTTTTTCAATATCCACCTCTTCGTAATCACTATATGAAAAATCATCACTTTCGCTGTTTTGCATCATCGCCATTATTTTACTTTTTTCACACACACACAACGAGCTATCCTTCTTTATACATCACCAATCCCCAAGCTGACGTGTAATATACAACAGGGAAAACACATGACAAGTCCTACCAAAAGATTCGCGAAACCAACAAAACTTCGCAAACTGCCAATCAAAACTGAATATTTCCTTTCATTTTCTCCAAGGCGAGTAAAAGCGTGATAAAACCAATCGTATTGACAAATTCTGCTTTTCCCGAGTTTTCTCGGGATAGTAATTAACTGCAATATATACGAACTCGTGATAACTCGGGATAATCAGGCAAGCGGTTAAGGCAATGTTCATATCAATACGAAAGAAAAACACTTACCGATACAGTGTCACAGAGGGTGGTGAACAGCATCTGAGGAATGTTGCTGATGGACTTCCCCCGATGATCGTCTGCACAGACCCCAAAAAATCGTCTGCGCAGAAAGTATTTTCAAACAGTTCGACTTATCGATGAGTTAAAATTCAAAAGATGATAAATGGCACCAGCAGAGAAGAATACAAAATTCAGAAGAGAGTTATTGGTTACTGTAAGTTTACGACAGTATTCGCTCTATAAGCATTTCTAGAGTTCCTGAAAAGAATTAAAATAATAAATATTAGCAATTTTTTTACAGATAGAAATAATTACTATAAACTAAGCAAAGACTAATAAAAGACATAAAAAATTTAATACAGCTTACTGAAAAAACAAGAATTGCACGAGAAGGAAATGTGTTTTTAAATTAAATTGAATCTTTTAATTCACCCTTATAATAAATTTACGTATAGAAGAATAAAATTTTTACGGTTTCACACAGTTTAGATTTTTTTTTTTTGGAGGAATAAAAATGGAGCAAAGAACTGGTCCGAAATGAAAATATTAATTAAAAAAATACAAATTAAAGAAAATTAATTGCAATTATTAAAAAAAATTTGCCACGCAACTTGTCAAGAAGGAAACTAAATGAAAATAATTTGAAGATGAGTAAAAAACATTTTAACCGTAATTTTTTTGTTCCGTTTTTTTTACTGTTTTCTCAATTTCTCTTTAATTCAAAATAACTTATTAATTATAGTAATGCATTTATATATAAAAAAAATACTTTATTTTTTTCATTCGAGTTTTATGATCAATAAATAAAAAAAATTAAGAGGTATTTATCCTTTTTTAATAATATTTTTTATAATTAAGTCTAATTTGGATTAAAGCAGTGGTTGTAACATACGTTACATATTAGATACATATAGATTATATAGATATTTTTATTTGAACTGAGTATTTCAATTTAAATATTTCATTTCTAGCAGCATTCTATTTTATGTCAGTTTTGAGAGATATTTTTTTAAAGAAATTATATATTATATATTTAATGAAAAATTTTCAATAAAAATGCTACAATTCGAAGATTGAAACTACTAATTAAAATCTAGAAGAGACCGTTGATGTCATTTGGACACTGGAGTCTATTTACTTTGTTCTCTTTTCCGCATTTTTGCAGGAAATTCAAAAATTGTTCGTGATTTTTAATCAATTTCTCTGGTGATTACGCAGAGAAAGTTTTGTAGTTCTATGTTAATTAGGAGTGATTTTCAAACTAAATATACCTAGAACATCCGCTGGTTTCATTTCGACACCAAAGCAATTTATCATTATAAAAAGCTGTCGTTCAACAAAATATAGTTCACTAAGAAGATACCATTAGTAAAACAAATTTCCCAAAGTTCTATCGTACATTTTCTTTACCTTGAATACAATGTTATTGAGTTTACAGTGGAAATTAATCAATATACAAAAGTTGTTGTGTCAAAATGTTTCGTTATATAGTATTTGCTTATCTGCTCATAAAAAAAAAATCATTCGATTTTCGAAGTGCAGAACAGACACCATGAAACGATGGCTCTTAGAAAAGGTCTAACCCATGATGTAAATGCTAATTTGTTGCGAGAGTTTTCTGAGAGAGAATGAATTGGCTCTAATTTAGATACCGATGAAGACATAAAATTGAATGAAAGTGACTGCGAAGAATCAGAAGAAAGTGCAAATGTAATTGATAATATTCCAGTAAATCCGGATACATATGTCGCTAGGGATGACACAAAATGGATACCGCATAATAGTAATGTTCATCGCAGATTTGGGACTCGAAATGTTTTGCAACAAGGCAATGGTCCAACCAGCTTCGTAAAACATAATGTCAACGTCAGTTTTTTAGGATATAAAGGGTCAAAATATGTGATAATTAAATAAAATAATATTAAAAAGTCTTAAATCTGAACTCTACTGAACAGCGGTCTTGCAATTAGTTAAAACAATTGCTTTATTACATTTTGTATCGTGGTGTCAAAATGACACTGGTGGACGTTTAGGGGTAATCGAAATCCCGTAGAGTTGGCTCTAGAGTTGGAAAAAAAGCGATTTAACTAACTTTCGAACAAAATTTATTTCAGAGATGCAAAGACATGTTTGTACTTAGTACAGATAATAACGTCCCATCCATATTGAATTTCTTCTAGACGACATTTGTGAAACCGATGTAAAACTTTATTGAAATGTTTTATTGGCAAATGGAGTATTCCAAATTACGTAGATGCTTCACACTGTTCTATTTTATAACTTCTACTTTTAATAAATATTTTAAACTGTATTCCTAAGAAATAGCGCTTGAACATAGTAAGCACTGAGTACATAGTAAGTACATCAGGAACTCTCTTTTCATTGGTTGTCATATAAATCATTCAGTAAAATGTTACATAATTTTGCATTATAAATTATAAGTCCCAATTCTCTAATCAGTGGAAATATATACAACACATGGTAATTATTTCAGAATTTTCAGTTTAAAAGATATATTCTTAAATGACTCACAGAATATCAGCGTACACAATATACAAGTTTTGAGGGCACACAAATAAACAAGGGAACCTTACGAATTACTTAAAAAAGCCAAATCATTACCTAATATATAAAGTAGTACAGACATAGAAATATTTTACAGTGGTTCTTAGTGGTTATCGAAACGACTAGTCGTGCAAA